TTATATCTTAGATTTCAGTAGCCGGTGGTACTCCACAGGGTTCAGTTGATACCAAATGACCATTTCTTGGAGTTTGATTTCTACCTCAGTTTTTAGACCTAGTATTTTCTGTAAACTGTCGGATTGATAGCTCACCCCCTCTGTGTGCGTCTGACGTCTGAAGTGACTTTCAGTTAATTCCACGGTTGCGTGAATAATGGTAACATCACTTGCACTAACTCCATTTGCATCAGCTACAGCTTGCTGCTGAGTCCTGTCTTTTTTATTCCAGCTATTTAAGACGTCAAGCCCAGCACGGGATTCAGCAGAGAATCAGCAGAGATTTATTTTCTCCAACAAATGAGATATTTTCCAGTATATAAGTGACACTGCGGAAGTGTCTTACACCAGACAAGCAGTTTGTTTTCGAAGTCAAATGGCCACATTCTTTAGCATGCAGCTGAGTCCCCGCAGCTTTGCGTTGCCGAAGCTGTTCTTGTGGTGGGGCACCGAATTCGAGCTCTGCTTTCCCAGGAGAGCGCGAAACTCTCCCACCTCTTGGATCTTTAAGCCACATCTGTTGACCACTAATGACCCTTACGCCTCTGTGTCCAGAACTGTTTTAGTGGCAGAGATTATTCAAATCTATAAAAAAAAGATTTATTTCATATAAAATCCAGCAATATTAATGTCTTCCTGTAATTCAACTTTGATATTTATTTTGGTTAAAATGATTGCTCAAGTACTAATAGGGTGCAAAAGATTCCCCTACAGTCAGAAACTCCCCATCAGATTGTCAGAAAACGTTTCCTCCCACAAGTGTGCGCTTAACTCTGACCTCCTGAACGTAAGAACCGCTTCTGAAGGTGAAATTTCCAAGTTCAGGGTCTGTTGGAGAATGAGTTACCGATACCTCTTTCTTAAATAAAAGGCACATTATGTAGCATGACTCCTTCCCAGTTGTGGTGGCGTCAGCTGAAGGGGCACTTCCCTGGCCACCCCGGCGCATAGCGCCCGTCCCGGACTACTGACACCACAGGGCTCTCGAGAGAAACGGTGCTTCCCTTGCACGCAGCCTGATGCAAACTCTGATCAATGTCCCGGAGGCACCTGGGCTGAACAGAAATAAGAAGTGTCTGATTGGCATTGCTGGGCAAAAAAAAAAAAAATCCTTTCAAACTTCCCTTGTCCCTACAACAATCTTAGAATAACATTGAAAGATAAGGTGACATCAGAACCTGATGGCAGTAATTAAAAAAAAAAAAGGGGGGTTGGGGGACTTTTTGTTGGGTTTTCCCCCAGTATGTATCTGTGGGAGGAACGGGGAGTGCTCACTTGCAGCAGGAAACCCAGCTTTCAAGAACAGGAAACGGTGTTCGCTTTCCAGTTCTGCCATGGCCGTGCACAGATGCAAAATTGGAAAGCTCCATATCCGGTACGGCTGCCGTCCCAAACGCTGAATGAAGTGGAATGCTTAGTCTTAAAAATGAATGAACCAAATATTTTTTTAAACAGATGGAAGAACCTTGTCTATATGTACAGTTGGGTGTAGACAACTGACTCTGAAGTAAACGTTTCTGATTATGCTCTCCTGAAAAATAAACTCTGAAGCGTAAACCCTGGCATACTCTTAAATATGATGGTGCGAAAAACACTGTTCTGAAGAGACAAAAATATGTAGTGGTACGGCCTGGCCTATTCCCAGCTGAGCTGCACAGGCAGCATGAGAGGTGGCAGCGTGACTGTAAACAGAGAGGCCACGGACCCCGCGCCTCTGTTTCACAAGCTGCTCCGCGCACCGGTGCTGCTCTTCACGGAAAAAATTACTGTTAAAAAAACACTTTGTAAAGTCATAATAAATCCAACAGACCACGTGGCTCTTCCTTGGTATGCTGGAGGGAGGCTGTGCGTTAAATCAACTCCTCAGTGTCCTGCGATTTGCTCCCTTCTGAGAACGTCCGAGATCCCCATCCGGCAGCGCCTTTGTGAGCGTGCGTGGGGTTCGGGTTCGGGGTTCTGCCGCACGGTGTCCGTGGGTTTTGCTTCTCCTTGGCTCTCAGGTAGCTTTATGCGTTATGGTTCAGGGAGGATGTTTCGAAGCCTTAAATTTCTTAGGCACCTTTCAGTACGTATAAAGCAGTTGCTGTGTTTCCGAGTCTGCTCATTGTATCGGTAGTATGTGTGTTCTGGTGTAAAGCAAGAAATTCTGTTTTTTAAATGAAGAAAGCAAGTTCAGAAATTCTTATCTGTCCGTGTCTGTGGGCTCCCTCTTCGTTTAGGGAGATGCCAGCTTCATTTGCACAAGTAACCTGCTTGTGTGGCACCTCCATTAAAGGCACTGTATTTTCCTCTGTGGTTCGTAGGCAAGGCATCAAAATGTACCCTGGCTGAAGTATCTGCAGAGGCCTGATTTTTACCAGCTCCTCCAATCAAGCTGTTCGTGGAGGGTGAAAATGGTAGCGATGAGACGACTCCTAAGGGAGCAGGCCTGAAAATCGCAGATGTGTTATTTTGTAAAGGGGATTTGTTGTCAGGGATCTGCTTGACTTTACAGCCGAGGAGCTCTGCCATCAGCCTCTGGAAGCAGCGACCCCTCTCTCCAGCAGCCACCAAGGTGCCCAGAAGACTTCTTGGGTCCGGTGAGGTAAAGAACGAGCTGGAAATATTTCAGAGAAGTATATCTTAACTGTCTCCTAAGATTGTTCCTTAAGGCAGTCTCCCAGAAACAGTCTACATAGACTCTTTATACTTCTGACCTTCATGATAGGTAGATTGGATTTAAACACTGTTGCTGTTTTCAGATGTAGCTTCGTGTACGTATTCTTATGATGGTGTATAAAAATACCTTGAATGTACAGTAATTGTGAAGAAATTCACAACACGTAGAAGCAACTTCTTCCCAAAGTAAACTTCTCATTTTAATATGGATTAATCATTGCTATTTCCTGATTTCAGGCGTGAAATAAGCTTATCTCCACATGGCAATTCTCAAGATTCATTACAGAAAATCATGTTGACTTCCTTTTGCCCTAATCCCAGTAACATAAAAGAGGGGATACTATATGCCCAGAATATGCATAGAGCAATAATAAAATTCCACCTACGTTGAACATGGGAGTTTAAAGGAACAAATCACTTCTTTACTTTCTGCATTTCTTTATAGGAGAGGATTTGTAGTGTTAGGGGTATATTTTTTCGTTTAAACTCGTACGAGGCAAAATAAGAGTTCCACCTTTAAATGACAGAGAGTAGAGAACTGGAGTTTTGATTACAGTAGCAATGTAAGAACTTTTGCATCTTCAAATACAAGAAATACCTTAAATAATATTGCTCAGATTAATTATTGAATCTGTTGTTGTCAGTAGTTAATGTTAATGTCTTCTACCAGAGTATATGTATAAAGCTGCATATCATAGGTAAGCCAAAATCAGACTTTTAGTCTAGTATTACTGAAGACTGATAAATATTTGTCTGTTTACACATAATTAAAAAAAGATGGCTCAGTTGTTGAGGTGCACAAATGCTTCCTTGGAAATTTCCAATTTCCTTATAACAGTGTAACGAGTATAATATTGAATGTGTTTGAGACCTTAGAGTGAAGTAGGAAAAATAGTTGCGGCAGTCTGACTGGCGATGGAGCCTTGTTAGGAACGAGAACGGTCCTCTCCAGAAAAGCGGGCGTCCCGCCTGGCCGAGGCTGCCAGTTCTGCTCCGTGCCCTCAGCTGCGGGGCTGTTGCACACTTTATTGCTGTTGAATACGTGTCCTCTGATTCCCTCAAGTAAAATACCTAAGAATTTACTCTCTGGCGCTTTTAATTCTCTTCTTGTTTATTACCAAATGAAGGACTTTACATCATAAATTTGCCTTTATTTGCTAAGTACATTTTTGAAATTCGTAAGGCTTCAAATCAGGGTAAAGAATACCAGCAAGATGAAGTGTTTGCATCAAGACACGATGAGAGAGGGAGATTTTAACTAGGCAAGCACCTTTTGGGGGACAAATGCAGCAAAACAGAGTGTGCAGGAAACTGACATTTTTGTGACATGGGGACCAGGGCAAGAGATTCTCCTGGTTTTCTATTCTAACTGATACATGCCTCATCTGACTGAGGCATGATACAGAGGTGTAAGATAAAATAAGCATGAGTGACTATGGAAATGATGGTCTGTCGTCCTTAAGGAGGAACAAGGAAATCTGCAAAATAAAGGCAGTGCCCTTCAAGAAAGGAGGCTTTGATAACCTCTGGTTGGTAGCTGAGTTCTTACAGGAGAGACGTCCAAGAGAAAGCTGTTAAGATCTGCCACCCTAGTCAACAGGCGGATGAGGTTTCAGTGCAGAGAGAAGGTACGAGCTCAGTAAAAGGCTTGCGTGGTTAAGTCATGACTGGGCCATTCAAAGACCTTAAATACAAGAGGGAAAAGAAAAGAAGGGCCAGCTCCCTTTCAGAGAAGAAGAATACAAAAGAATGGTGCAGACATATGAGGACAAAATAAGAAAGTAAGGCACAAAATAAAATGGAACTAGCAAGAGAGAAAGAGAGAGAATCGATTGATACGTACATTAGTAATAAGAGGAAGACCAAGTAAAGTGTTTGGTCTGCTCCTTGAGGGAAGCAGGGAGCTATTAACAAATGAGACTGAAGTGTTCAATGACTTTTTGCGTTTGTTTTCAATTAAAAAAAATCAAAAGTGAGCAGATGGTTAGCACAATTAATACTAGCAAAAAGGGATAAGATCTCAGCCTAGGAAATCTAGTGATAGAGTCCTGCATGTTTTAAAAGGCCTGATGATTTTAATCTGAGGATGCTTAAGGGACTGGCACTACTGGCACTTGTAGTCACGCTAGCAGTTAGTTTTGAAAATTCATGGAGGGTGGATGAGGCTCTCGGATCGAAAAGGAGAGGCATATAGTGTCTACTTTTAGAAGAGGGGCTTGGAGGGAGGGTAAAATTAATCTGGGCAACGAAGAGTTCAGTTTCCTTTGCTTTGCCTTTTTTTTTTTTTAATGTATTGCAGGCAGTCGGATGGTAACAGGGAAGGGTGCAGCAACCAACACGGATCTGTCAAATACTGGTTGCATCAATTTACTTTTTGTGCATTAGACTTTACATAATTGAGCAGAGGGAGAGACATGTTTTGATTTTAGGAAGGCTTTTGATGCTTTCAAATGGCTTTCTTGGGGGTAGTCTAGAGCAGTGTCTTAAGTAGAGAACTAGTTAGTAAATTTGCAGGTGGCATCAAGCTGGGAGCAAATGCACAAGTAAGAGAAGATATAACCAATATTTGAAATAATTCTGGGACATCCACAAACCAATGTTAAGTAAAGATGATGCAAAGATTGTCAAATACCAGGTAAAGTGCTTTATCAAGGCTAATCAACATATACAAAAGAGAAGGCCAACTCACAGGTAGCCTTTCAACAGGAAAGGGCGTGAAGATTGTCAATGTGAGTTCACATGTGGACATCTGAAAAGTTAAACATGAGTCTTGCTGTGCTTAAAACAATGTCCAGTACCTTGAGACATATGGATAAATATGCTCAACTGAATCAAACTGAAATTAGATCAATAAGTTAAATTGCCGATTAAAGCCATGATCAGAGGTCTAGAAGATTTTGTATGTGAAGGGAAACATCATATGACATACAGAGGGCTTCTTCAAATGGAAAAATAATCTGTTCTTGAGATGTCTGTGCTGAAGAGGGCAGTAAGAAAGAGATTTCAATTGCAGCAAGAAAGGTCCTGACTAGGTATCATAGAAACTTTTCTGAAGCACTGAAACACATTGCCTGAGAAGAATATAAAGACTTCTCAAGGGAGGGCTATGGGACATTGGACAGATCTGTCAGGAGAGGCATAAATGCATTTGATCCTGCAGTGGAATGAGGGCTTAAGTAGATTTTGCGGAGTAAGAGTGTTGCCTTATTTTTCTGTAATACTGTGTTTTTGTGTTTTTATTTAATTAGTTAGATTAGCCTCTTCTAGACATTGTAGTTGGACTTGTTTGGATTACTTTGTTTTTTTATCATTGAGACAACATTTATTATAACGTGCCTTTATAAAAGTGTGTTTGAAAGAGAGAAATTGGTTTATTAGATGATCCTGCTGACAATTATGTAGCGCACACATACAAATTAGGAAACATTTCTTGGAGTGTGTATAATGTGCTACCTTAAAGTATCTGGTGGTTAGGATCATATGGAGTTCTACTTAAAATTAGAAATACATATTTTATGATGTGATCTTTTATGATAGATTACCATGTACATGACCATATAACTAGTCTACTTCCTCGTGTTATTATGCACAAATACCAGTAGTATATGATACTACCATAAAATAAAGTGCATAGAAAATGTATGTTCCAGGTAGAATTATTGAGCCTATCATAAATAAATATGGTACCTTTCTTTATCATCAGTATTAAAAGCCTTATGACTTCTTTATTGTCTGAGGAAGAATTTGACATTTAAAGCTTTTAACGGGCTTAGCTATGTCTTCAGTTTGCATGATGCTCATCTACTTCAGTAATACTTATTTAGTCACAGGTAAATGTGGGACCCTTATTTACAGGGTCCCATACCTGTGTAGTCTTGAGTTGGCTCAAAGATTTGAGAGAGATGCTGCAAATAAATACTGCTAACCCTCACTTAAGATTAAATCAGAATTCTAAATGCAAAATTGAGGCTTTCACTGGAAAAGCATTAGAAATAAATAGCAAATAAAGATAACCTGCGTATCAGGAGCTGGTAAAACCGAAAGTGCTCGGACAGCTTCAACTCAGGCCAGTACCTGCTTTTAGGGGTTATATTCAGGTATTTTCTGAGCCTCCTTTTTTGGCTTGTTGAACTAATCAGAAAACTATCCATTACGGTAACTAGATTATGTATTTAAAAGTGAAATGAACAGTTTAGGTGGTAATCTATATTGCTTCTCCCGAAGCCGGCAGCTTTTCCTTCTGCCTGTGTTGTGGGAGCAGAGCTGAGAGCGGAACGGCAGGGCACCGAGGGCTGCGAGATCGTTGCAGACGCTGTTTGCTCTCCTGTTCTTCGGGAGCTTCTGGATGAATGCATGCCTTTAGTATATGAGAGTGAGAACACTGTGTGCATTTTCTTTCACTGAAAACTGAATTCTATAATTTCTACCCTTGCTGTAAATTTAGGATTATGCTCTGGGAAGACCTAAGAGAAAAATAATACTTCTGCTATAAGCTAATTCCTGTGCATAGAAGAGCATGCTGCTTTTAAATTTCTTTCCTTCTCTCTTTCCTTCCTTAGGAAAATAGTCACCACTGTTTGCCAGAAACAGTGCCCATACCTTTGCCAAAAGACTTAAAACATAGGCAATTTTAAGTTGATTGATAAAGATAATACTCATTAGCACAGTTGCAACTATAGGTACCAGAGTCCAGCTTTCAGTTAGGCTTAAGAAACAGGTGTTTTAATGCCTTCATTGGGCCAGTATAACGGTGCCTTTTTTAGAAAAATTTTCTACACCTTTGTATGCTTCAGTTGAATGTTCTAACTTGTTTCAGGCTTAAGGGTTTTAATTTCCTATACTGGAATTTGATCTACTCCACTTCTTACTTAAGCCAAAGAAAAATTTGTGATGAATCTGTGTAAAATAAGAGAGATCCTCTTAGATTCTCTGAGGCTTAAGAGTCCTCATGTACCCTGGTGTAACCCCCTCCAGAGTTTTATTCATGAGAAGTATGTTCAAAAGGCTGAAGGCAAAAAGAGATGAAAGAGAGACTACCCAAATCCATCTTCTGGTTTCCTTCACCGTAGGACCACCTCCAAAGACAAAGGTGGAGATCACACATGCAAGCAGCCAGCGATGATGATCTGAAACAGGGAGAGATTTTGCATTATACTGGTACTTAGGGTAAAAAGTGCCTGGTGGAGCGGCATCCTCCGAAACGCTCCGTGACTGCAGGATGTCCCTGCTCCGTCACGCTCTGCTGCCACTGCCTCTGCAAAGAGCTGCAGAAGGATCTCCGAGCGTTGGGCGTCTGATTTGGAAAACAGCAGCAAAAATTCGATGTTTATAATGCAAAGGAGGGCACAAGGAGGAGGGAAGCCAGTCCCAGGTGTCAGCCCATGTTCCCCCCAGCGAGGTATAACCTATGTTAGTTTTTCTGATACTTTCTGCCTTGCATTTGTTGGTTTGTGAGTATTCCCTTCTGCAACGTAGTCATTGTTCCTAATTTATTACCACATCCAACAGGGCTTCAGCTGCATACCTAATTGACATAGATTTTGTAATAATATATTCTGTAAAAGCATAAAAAGCATTGAACAAATCTGAACAGTAGCAATCCTACCACTCTTAGTAGCATACCTTCATACATTCACAACTCCTTTTCCAGGATGATTGGGCAGCCACCTTCTGCTGAATACGCACCCTGCTCATTGCAGGGAGTGCAAGCTGCTCTCCTGCGGCTCTCAGGTGATACGCGGTCAGGTGTGTAGCGAAGTCACCAAGCTGATTGTCCATCAAGGAGATCTATAGTTCTCTCAAAAACACTTATACCCCCCCCCCAAAAAAAAACCAAAACCAAACAAACACACACAGCAAAAATGACTCCAGGATTGCCTAACAGAGCTGCTTTCCACAAAACTAGGTTGCTAGACACATTTTTTTAATTCATTTTGCTCTTCATACTCAATAACTTGTTTTTCCCTTCTCCTCTCCTTATTCTTAGGATATCTTTTCTATTTGTTTTGCCCCTTTAAACTTGTAGAAGCTTGCAACATTTTGTTGGAATGACTTATAAAAATATTTTTTAATTTTTCACCTTTGACTCTTAGAGTAGGGTATCTCTGATCACTTGCTGATTTTTTCCTGTGTGGTCGACAAAGTTGATGAGAACATTATATCACAACTGGTTTAAGCTTTGAGAAAGCTTTCGTTTTAAAAATTCGGAGTGGTTGTACTGAAGGCTGGAGCCGTGCTCTTCTTAGTCAAAGTAAATATTACCCAATATTTACCGTGGGAATTGAGACCACTTTTAATTTCTGAGCCAATTTTTTTTGTTTTTTATTAAAATGAGATGCAGTACCATTAGTTATGGCACTTTGTATTCAGAAGGATGAATCTTCTGCTTTTAGAGATCCTGAGAAAATCTTGTCATTTCTCCTTTGTGATATTCATTAAAGGTTGCCCAGGTTGGACCTATTGTTATCCATGAAGCATTTTTCTTATGCCCTGAGATGTGTGTAAGGAGCGCTCACTCCACTCCGCAGCCCAAGTCTGCGGATGCAGTTGCACAGCGTCGCCGAGCTGATTCACTGCCTGCCACCGACAGGGAAGTCCTTGTGCCGCATGCTCCTCTCCCCTCGCTGGTACTGCCAGTGGTATTTGACCACATGGTCAGTTGATTCAATTTGCTAATCCGGTAAAAAACCAGCCTTGCCTCCCTTCATTTTGCCCAAATTACGCAGGTGTAATTTGATCCTTGGTGGCTGGCCACCTATGAAGACCATACAGTACTCCCAGCCTTTTTTCAGGGTGGGAGGGAGGTTTCTTCTCTCCTTTTTTGCAACTTGGATTAATCCAGTCTAAAATGAGTGGAAGAAATCTCTGGGGAGCATATAAAGAGCATATCCTAACATTGTGTATGCTCTCGAAAGAAGTCTTGTTTGAGTCCAAGGTTTCCTGACACTTCACTGCAACATAAATATGTGATACTACAGTACTCGCTATTTGAGTGGCCACTGTAATAAAACCAGAATTCAGTATTGTCACAGTAGTATATTACAGCCGTGGAAATCCCGTGTAGTTCATTGGTCCGTGACCAACAAAAATCCCCTTAGACTAACAATTAATCAGGCTCTGGTGAGCCTTTGACTAGCAATAGTTGCAGATGTCACCTCATGCAAGAAGTTGAAGCTTGGCCTTACATTAAAAAAAAAAGAGAGAGGAAAAAAAAGAAAAAGGCAGAAACCTTTTTTCTTAAGAAGACTTGCTTGGCTGATGTTATTATCTGTAATCTTGCGAGTTATGTCACAGCTACATGAATTATAAGCTTGCTTTTTATTG